AGCACCACAACAAGATAAAGGAGAATAATCCAATTGAAAAATGGGCACAGGATATGAACAGACACTTCACCAAGGAAGACATTCAGATGGCCAACAAACACATGCAAGAGGCTTTTAACAGTAGATTTCAACATATCTTTTGATTTCTTGACTACCGTTGTTCATGAGTGTTGACTGTGGATACAGGTAAAATGAATTCCTTGACAACTTCAGTTTTTCCCCATCATGATGTTGTTGTCTATTGACTGGTCTAGTAATGAGGGCTTTTGTTTTCTTGATGTTGAGATGTAATCCATAATGAAGGCTGTAGTCTTTACTCTTCTACAGTAAGTGCTTTCAAGCCTCCTTCACATTCTGCAAGGTTGGGCTATCTGCATAATGCAGAGAGCTGATGAATCGTCTTTCAATATATGTAGTAATAATTTCTTTTTTCCTTTTTATTTATTATATGCCATGCCCACCACATTGCTTAATTCTCCTAGCTACTCTAAGTGTAAACTAGAATCAACTCTATCTTACAGATATGAAAACTAAGACTTTTTAAAGTCATGTATCTAGTGTACCATTAAGCTCATCTTCAAACACAGGCTAATACTAGTGTTCTAGTTATGCTGATATAACGGAGTTATCACAAATCTACTGCTTTAACAAAAAGAAATGTATTCTATTCTTTTATAGTTTATTATGCTAGAAGTGCAAATTCTGGGTGCTAGCTCTGGAGAAAACCCTCTCTGTGTTGGCTATACAGAAGAGTCCTTGTTTCCTTCAGCATCTGGAGACCTCCGTGTGTTCTGGCCTTTCTTAATTCAAAAAGGGGTCCAGATCCAAAACAACGATCTCTACTTCTGGCGATTATTTCTTGGTGATATAAGGGTCCCTCTCTTGGTTCAATTTCTGACCTACCTTCTTTTATCTCTTCAAAGGTAAAGATATTATGGGCCAGATCCTAGAGGAACTCTAGGTTCAATTAGGGTCAATTAGGGTTGTAAATGGATTAATGTAACTGCATTCTACCCTTAATTCTCCAACAACTATTGGGTTTATCAAGATCCTGGGGGATTTGTATATAGATTCTACATGGCGTCATTATACGCATGTATTTTGGAGAGACATAATTCAATCCATCATATATTTTATTCTGCATTGTAGGCTCTCTAAAAAGGGAAAACAATAGGGATCTTTTTAAGTATTTATAAGACATTGTCTTTACTGGGGAAATCTCAAACATTCTGAAATATGTCTGGATGAATTTTTCATGTTCTGAATATGTCTGGATGAAATTTTTTGTTTGTTCTTGCTTTCTAAGCACCTCCTAATTGTGTGACGTGCTAAAATATAATGATAACAGAAAGCATGGAATTACAGTATACTCTGTGTAAATCCTAACTTGTGAAAACTCATAATTATCAGCACTTCTTAAGTAAAGGCCACAAAGGTGACAAACTATATTCCTAGTATCTCATTAATTTGCATTGCTATTTGCTACAAAGATTTCCCCCCCTTTGATTAGAAATAGACATGTTTATCATACTACAAAAAGAAAGTTCTTCTAGTTTATAATTATTTAGATTGAAAAATGTATTAAGTATTATTCACCTGAGGCAGCTATTATATGAGTAATTCAATTATCTGAAAGTCGGTTTGCCTAAAGATACTAACTTCTAGTTACGTGAAAAATGAACAAAATTGAAATTTGACACTGAAACTTTCTGAAAAGATTGTTAAGGTCAAAAGATTATTCAGTTAGGATGAGACAAAGCAGAGGGTCAATGACAAAGAGGCCTCTCAATGATGGAACCACACAGTAGCTACAATACGTTTAAACACAGCAGCAATGGTGAGGCTAGACCGTCTGTTCTGTTGTGCAGAGGGTCCATAGGAGGTGGAACTGATTAGACTGCACCTAAAACCCGAACTTCTAAAACCCAAATACAACCAGGATTGTAGACCTCAAGCCCATTCAGTTTGTTGTTGTTGTTATGTGCATCAAGTCATTTGCAACTCATAGCAACCCTATGTACAATGCTCTGAACTTTGCTCTATCTTGAGCAAAATTCATTGTCTCTGACACACCTACCCCATTACCCCAGTCACTGAGCCTTTCCACCTCATGGAGAATCTTCCTCTCCTGTGCTGTCCCTCAACCCTCCCAAGCATCATGTCCTTCTCCAGGGACTGGTCCCTCCTTGCAACATGCCCAAAGTATGTCAGACAAAGCTTCAAAATCCTTGCCTCCACGGAGGACCCTGGTTTTGCCCTTTCCAGGATGAATCTGTTTATTCCTGTCTTAATTGTCTCCCTCAGTATAGATCCTTAGTACTTATGTGTGGTTCTCAGATCAACCGCGGCAGTGCCACCAGGAAACCTGTGAGAAACTGTAATGTCAGATGCCATGCCTAAATTACTGAATCTGCATTTTCACAAGAGAGGGACATCATGCTTGGAAGGGTAGACTGACAGCGCAAGAGAGGAAGACCCTGGATGAGATGGATTAGCTAAGTGAATGGGATAATGGGAGTAGAGGTGTTAGGGACAATGAGGTTGGCTCAAGATAGAGCAGGGTTCAGAAAAGTTGTATACATAGGATCATCTATGAGTGACAGATGACAACACAAAACACCACCACTGCTACCACTCTAGTTAGTGGTAAGGAGTTGTGCTGTCAACCTAAAGGCACATGGTTCAAATCTATTAGATGCTCCTCAAAAAATGAACAAAAAAGAGAAAGATGGAAAATCTCCTCTTGTACTATTTACAGCATCTGAAAACCAATGGGAGGGTCGCTATAATTTTCGATTTGATGGCACACAAGTCTAGCTTCAAGGAGCTCAGGCAACATAGGCTGCAGGTAGTGGTATGGCTAGCCCAAAGATCTGTGTTGGTTCAAATCCATAAGAAGCTGTAAGGAAAAATACGGCTAACCTCCTCCTGAAAAACTTATAGCCTCAAAACGCCAGTGAAGGATAAGCTATGAGTCAGTTTGGACTCAACAGCAATGAGTTTGAGTTTAAGACTCTAGGAGTATAGTTGTGCAAACACTGCTTAGCTGCTAAGTGAAAGGCTTCAAGTGCACCCAGGAGAGTCTTGGAAGAAAGGCCTGGTGCTCTCCTTTAATGATGTCAGATGCCAGTCATTAGGAAGCCTCCTGGGTACAGTTCTATGCTGGCATATGTTTGGGATCAGGACTCGGCACTGACTAGTTGGCAAGTGGGATCCTTTAGTCTGTAACTTTGTAGCTCCTCCCCTTTCATTAGATCCCACCTCAAACATGACAGTTTTGGATCACAGTTTCATCAACCCAAGTTATCTCTTGACTCTAAATGTTACTCCCTTAAATCACCTCCACATTTCCTTCCCTTCTTCTTCCCCCATTCTGTCCCACCATTTTTTCTATTGTTTGCTTCTTTTATTGATTTGTTATCTGTCTACATTTGCCAGAATGTAAGCTTCATGAGAACAGCGACCGAGTTTGTCTAGGACTCTGCTTTATTACCTTTCTCTAAAATGGTAGCCAGATCAAAACAGGTACTAAATAGATGTGTGATAAGTAAATGAATGACTCTACCAAGATTTGACTTACTTACAGGCCACAGAAGTACTTAATGGACTATAAATTTATTTAACCAGTATGCCATTTCCTTCAATTTTCTCATCAATACCAATGACTCATCCTTTCAGTACCAATTCCTCATCAGTGACCTAGTATCAATACAGTCAAGTATTCAAAAACACTTAAATCTCATGGTTAATATTTTAACAAGTATAAATGTTTACATAAAACCTATTTCTAAAGCTATACATAAAATGTCCTTAGAAGTATCTAAATATAAACATTAATATAAAAATAGTGGGTTTGGGGAGGTGCCGGGGGGGGGGATTGTGTACCAATGAGGGAGTTTTTCTTTTGCTTTTCAAGGAGAGAATAGTCTAAAAGTATAATATTTTAGGGCATTATTTTTATCGTAGGAGTATGCAATGAGGGTTGCAGAGTGGATTATATTTGGGGGTAG